GGAATATTCAGAACGCTAAAGGTATTTTACACCAAAATTAAGATATCACTATATAATCAGATGGTATTTCCACTTCACACTTAAACAGTTTTCTGTCACCAATTATGATGTACTCAGTTAATATTCAACAGACACTATTCCAGACCAGGGTGGATAAAAATCAATGATTTAAAAAAAAAATTTAAAAATCAGATTTTTTTAATTTAAATTGGATTTTTTTGATAAAATGCTTTTTCAGAAAAAAACCTATCTAAAGGTAGTTTTAATTAAGATATCTTTGCACTATAATGTATCTCATCATGGAATAGGGATTATAAATTCTAATTCTATAGTATGAGACAATATATTCATGTCATGTTTAAGAAAAGTTTTGTAAATGAGTTCCAATAGTTCATGGATTAGGAACCCAATCTTATGTGGTTACAGGGGCTTCTGTATATATTATTTAGGTTAATCTTTCTATCTACCCAATGGGACTCAGTGCTCAGTCTAGAAGATACCCTCAGAGATGCTTAGTTTTACAGTTCTCAAACTGTGGATTTGTGTCTCCAGAGGTAACATGCTTGTTAACAGCAAAAATGTTTTTCTATATATAGAAAAACATTTTTGCTGTATATATATATATATATCGGTGAGAAATAGCAGACCTTCAACTCTATTGTCCCTCTGCAAATTTGTGTACACAGAGTCAATCCCTTACCTCTCTCTAAAAGTGCAAAGTTTCAAAAAGTTCAATGAAGATTGTTGGGGACGGAATAGATCTGGACACGGAGAAGTCTGGAGATAAATGTGAGAAGTGAGGGACATATGCTTGTTTTGTTCAACTATTATCTGTTTGCTGTTGAAGAAAAAAATCCAGAATACTTAACGTTGTTGTTTTAGTTAAATAAAACAATGTAAATGTCTGTCTGGTGATGTTCTCCTCCTAATACAGCATGGCAAGAAAATCCTCCAAATATTAATTATTAACCTATTGAATTAGAGATAGTTCACCTCCCAATGACTTCATAAATATCTGCTTCAGTTACCTTTGGTAAATTAAATAACCAATCATTCATTTTCTGATATAGCTGTAAAACTAATCTGAAAAGTTTTCAAAATAAATCACTGTTTAAAAATGTATAGTATGTACCTTCTAAAAATGAAACCTACATCTATCTCTGAGTTGTGAAGAATATGTATTAAAGTTATAATAACCAACAAGAATGCACTTTTATGTAGAAAACCATGATTAAATCGAGTCTTCCTGACTAGTGATTTAAATCAATTTGGTTTAAATCAAATCCACCCTGCTGGCTAGCCTTGATGTAAATCTGTCTAGAGGGTGTTACCCAGGAACACAACAGGTTTGAGATACACACAGCTAAGTTTCATAACTTCATATACAATGATGATACATGCACACAAACAGGATAATCATACTTAGCAGACTATAACTTTTCCAATGATACCTTACATGACATATGTACAAGATTTATCGCAATTGCGCAATGCATTGCAATTGTGCAACACACAATACATGGTCACCTTCTTTTATACAGCATCACACCACCTGTAAAGTCTTTGTTGATGATGAGATCCAGAAAGAACCTAGCTCAATGTTTACATTCAAAATTGACTTTGCAGAGCCGGCGGTTTAATTTAAAAAGTAATCTAAGCAGATTGGACCTGGAAAATCTTTGAAGCTTCAAAGATAGAACTCCACTACCCTTTTTAGTGATACTTGACAGAAAACAGTACTCCAGCTTTACATGTGTTCTATTAATGATTTGAGACAATTTTCATTTGACATTTCAGTTCACTCAATCAGAGATTGGCTCATGTAATTATCAAGAATTTTGGTGTCTGAGTTGGAAAAAATCTTATTTTTATAGGGCATTCTGCTTCAGCTGTTTGGGGGATCAAGAAAAGATTTCAGTCATACCGGAAGAGGCAATTTTCGTGCTGAGATCAACATTCTTCTGTGTGGTGATCCTGGCACTAGTAAATCACAGCTGCTTCAATATGTCTATAACCTGGTTCCTAGAGGCCAGTACACATCCGGGAAGGGCTCTAGTGCAGTTGGTCTCACTGCATATGTAATGAAGGACCCAGAGACAAGGCAGCTGGTTCTGCAGACAGGTGCTCTGGTTCTCAGTGATAATGGCATTTGCTGTATTGATGAATTTGATAAAATGAATGAAAGTACAAGATCAGTACTGCATGAAGTAATGGAACAACAGACTCTTTCTATTGCCAAGGTAAGACTCTAGCTCAACATTGTACCACGCTACCCAGGTTAATATCTGTTAGATGATTAAATGAGATAATTGAAAAGGTAACATAGGAATTGGAGATAAGACTATTGACAGAATTGGATCACTTAAAACCTCAGAGTTGAATGACAGTATAGATGTTGGAGCTGTATTTCAGTGATAACATTCAGTATGTTGCAGACTCAGTATATATGGCTGCACACTGCATGTAATACTCCTTCCAGATAACCTTGTTCCATTTTGTACCAAAGCTTTTGTAATGAGGTTGTTTCTCTTGATCTAGAGAACCCTTTTTATAAAGCATTTTTGGTGAACCCAGCAAGAGTTAATTCTTTAAAGTCTTTCATGTTAGAATAAGTGAGTCTTGGGACTCTTAACATAGCTGCGGGAATCTTCCTTCCACTAGGAAAGGTTGTTTGCTCTCAAATACGTTTCCTTTTGACAGGCTGGAATTATTTGCCAACTGAATGCTCGCACTTCTGTCCTAGCAGCTGCTAACCCTATAGAGTCGCAGTGGAATCCAAAGAAAACTACTATTGAAAACATCCAACTTCCTCATACGTTGTTATCCAGGTATTACAATTAGACTTCTAGTTCCATGCTGCATGCTTTGTTTTTACAAAACAACTTTCTACCTCTTCCTGTATAAATCGTTTATTTTTGTGTGTGTGTGTGTGTGTGTGTGTGTTTGTGTGTGCGCGCGCTCGTGCGCGCAGGAACTTATTCATTGGGGGTGGCATTTGCAATGTAGAAAGCTGAAGTTTTTTTCTAAATTTACCTTAAAAGTAATGTTCTTAACTAATACTCTAGCAAAGGACTGTAAATGGCTGACCAGTTTCTAGTATATAGTGCTTGGTATTGAATAATGGCATTTGGCAGTGTCTCTAAGGTTTTGTTGTATCCATTGTTCTGCTTGTTTCAAGATTGTGTCACTGCACAGGCACTGGGATTTTAAAATCTCAAGTATTTTACATTTAGTTCTAAGGGCATGTATCTACGCTGGAGCTGGAGTGTAATTTCCAGCTCAAGTAGATATACCTGCTGTAGTGGTCATCAAGCTACAGTGCTAAAGAAAGAAGTGTAGCCACAGCAGTGCAAGCAGTGGGACAGGATAGGTGCTCCAAGCATGATCCCATCTGAAAGTGCATACTCGGGCAGCTAACCTGGGTATGTCTATCCAAGCTGGAAGTTACACCTCAGCTCCAGTGTAGACATACCCTGAGGCCTTGGCTACCCTCGGGACTTCACAGTGCTGCCGCGGCAGCGCTGGGAAGCGCGAGTGTAGTTGCGCTGCCAGCGCTGCGAGAGAGCTCTCACAGCGCTGTATGTACTCCACCTCTCCGAGAGGAATAGCGTGCAGCGCTGTGAGCGAGCGTGCAGCGCTGTACTCGCTGCGCTCAGGGGGGTGTTTTTTCACACCCCTGAGAACAGCAAGTTGCAGCGCTGTACACCGCCAGTGTAGCCAAGGCCTGAGTTGCCTTTTCTTCCTGTCAAACTGTGTTAGCAGCTGGAGTAATTATTTAATAAACAATGATAGAGGCATCACATCTTAGGAAGAGTATAAAAAAATTAGTCTTTCAGCCATTGCATGCTTTACAAATTAAGAAGCCAAATATAATAGTATACAAGTGTATGGTTTGTATTCCTCTGTCAAGTGTCACCCTAATTTCTGGTTTTTTGGTAGGCCGGAGCCTATTGATGATAAATTAAGATTTTTAACCTCTCACCATGAGGCACCTTAGAACTCTTTTAGGCAGTGTAGAAAACAAGTAACTGTGGATGATTATGAGCATCTAATTCCATTGCTTTAATAAATTGCAGGTACTTGTCATCTTTTGAAATCTAATCTGACTAAAAATATGCCCATCACATCCTTCTCAGAATACAGTTGCAACCATGAATTATTCAATACATTAAGTAGATCAACTTCAAATACGTGTAAATAGATTCCCCCTCAAGATCAAACTGGAAGCATGTGTAGACTCCATCACCTCATCACACAGAAGCTTGAGTAAATGAAGTTTACACTATGCCTTCAAGGTCCCAGCCTTCAGAGGTTGTTAGATGAATGATGGGAGAAAATTCCATAGTTGGAAGCCCCCTGAAAACATCCTACCTTCAAATATTGAACTCTGTAGACCGAAAGCAAAATGACATTTTCACTCTTTTTTTTTTAACTTCCTGAGAGTATCCTGTACTCCTGATGTAATGAATAAAATGTCAGATTTTAGATTTCAGACAGCTTCCGCTTGGTTGATCAAAATCATAAAACCAAGTAGTGTAAATGGTAGAAAAAGTTTATGCACTAACTATTGGATCTTTATTCCATGCAGATTTGATCTGATCTTTCTAATGTTGGACCCTCGTGATGAAGCCTACGACAGACGTCTTGCTCACCACTTGGTTGCTCTGTACTACCAAAGTGAAGAGCAGGTGGAAGAAGAGTACATGGACATGGCAGTATTGAGGGATTACCTTGCGTATGCTCGTAGCTATGTTAATCCTAGACTAAGTGAAGAAGCAAGTCAGGCCCTTATTGAGGTAAAAAGTTGTGGATGTGAAATTTAAAGTAAAAGATTTAAAAAGAGAGGGGGGAAAAAACCTTCCTGTGGGATAAGATGTACCAGAACTGTGTACACCATTTCCTTTATTATTAAGCTCTTAACATAGATTTTAAAAAGATTTCATGTATTGACTATTCTCCTTCCTTTTAATCCTGCATGGAAGTCATCGTGTGCTAACCAGTCTGTCCCAGAGCAGGTTTCCTGTACTCTTACAGGGCCATCACATCATTTCAGTAGAACTTGAACTTTCTCATGCTTTTGTGTAGATATTCCTTGGCAGATAGTAGTGATAGGCTTTAGCATTCTATATATTCTTTTGTGGTTTGAGACCAGATTTAGCTATTAATGATAACTGTCTCAATAACTGCACCTGTATTTCCCCCTCCATGATTCACTCTGGAAATGCCCAGTCAAGTCTCCAGCCATCATCTGTCTCTGGATAGGGACCCTTCTCACAGGGGATATTAAGGCTGCACAGCTCCCTGACATCCACTGTGATGTCCCCAGCAAGCCAATCTACTTAAGGACCAGCCCGTGTGCATTGCTTTCTCTGAGGACAAGAATAGTGATTTTTACCAGTCACCCCACAGCTCTTCCAAGCAAACATTTATCCACAGGGCAAAAGCATTATAGAGAAAACAAAAACAATAAACAGATTTAAATCCCCCGCTAAAGGTCACTAATTTTCCGAATGGGGAGGCTGATGGGCCCACCTCCCTTTCACCTTTCCGCAAAGAGGTGGGGCTTCCCCTTGGGCAGCAAGTTATGTCCATTTGCTGAATCAAAACGAAGGCCATGAGTTGGGCTCATCCTCTTATACCAAAGCCCTTTCTTTGTTTCCTAGTCTCTGGAAAACACAGTCTGACCCAGTCTATGCAAACCACCACCGGGCGTGGAACTTTTCTGGAAGAGTTTAACGTTCATGAATTTAATACAATGATCCCCAAAGATACTGTGTAGGGTTTCAAGAATACTCTGCCCAATTTATTATGGCTTTTTTACAGGATCAAGCATGAGGAGAGACATACTAGCTGTGGTAGATGTCAGTCATGGCAAGGGAAATAGTGAAGATGTATACGGCATTTATATTTAAGGGGATACACAATATTTGGAATTTTTTTTCCCAGGCTGATAATCCTCTGAAGGATGGAGTCTGGATACATCCTACATAATACATTTGTGAATTACTCATACCCCTTCCTTTTCCTTCAGGCTTATGTGGACATGAGAAAGATTGGCAGTGGTAGAGGAATGGTTTCTGCATACCCCACCAGCTTGAGTCTTTGATCCGTCTGGCAGAAGCTCATGCTAAAGTACGTTTTTCCAACAAGGTTGAAACAATTGATGTTGAAGAAGCAAAACGCCTCCTTCGGGAAGCTCTGAAACAGTCTGCTACTGATCCAAGAACTGGCATTGTGGA